TATTTATTTATTTATTTATTTATTTATTTATTTTTTGGACTCATAAATTACCAAGGCAAGCTGCTACTTCTTTAGGGAAGAAAGGGATAAGAAAAGGAGAATGATGACCAACCACAAGGTATCTTCAGGACCTAAAAAGAATTTCAGGGGAAAAAAGGAAAAAAGAAAATCTTTCCCTCAGGATAGACACTGGTATACCCAAAGAAGCTAGAGAGCGGATATTATCTAGGATATCTGTAGTATAGGTAAACCTGCAAAAACATTGTTTCAAAAACAACTAAATATAGACAGTTACCAGGCAATTGTTAATACCAAGATGTTATTAGAGAACATTCCTCTTGTAGAGGCACTCAAAGAGTTGTCTTTCTGGGTTCATTCCTGTGGTATCAAAAATGCAGCCAAGCTCTGCTTACTAGAAATGCTGTATTCCAACATCCAAATAAACAAGGAAAGAGTAGAGATGACCAATATGTTGTGACAATCAAAGAAAACGGGGGAGTTATGTGCACTGAGAAACCCTTGAGCTACAGAAAAGAATCATAACTTTATTTGAAACTTGGGCTACTATCTTTTCCTTCAAGCCATACATTAAAGGAATATAATGGCTCCCACTATCTGCCGAAGAGAAACCACTAAGAGACCAATATAACAAAGAGGAAGAACACAGCATTTTCTAAGTAGACTGCACTAAGAAGAAAGTTAGAAAGCATTTTCAGTATAGTATCAAAAAGTCTTTAAGAGTCAGTGTGGATGAAGCACTATTGACATTTGGGGTCATATAATTCTTTGTTGGGGGGCTTAGCTTACATACTATAGGAGGGTTAACAATTTCCTTGGCCTCTACATCTAGCACCCCTACCAACTGTAAAATGAAAAAATGTCTCCAGATACTGCAAAAAATGGAGGTGTTGGGGGAAAGTGCTCCAAAATGGTTTGTGTACAGAGTCACTACTGTTATGGATGAAAAGAAACAACAAACAGCTGCCTGGGATGATTTACTTTCTTGTGAACAAGTACTCTCCCACCACCCTATCTCCAAACCACTTGACTAACTTTTTTTTGATTCATAAACTACCAAGGCAAGCTGCTACTTCCTTAGGGAGGAAAGGGATAAGAAAAGGAGAATGTTAACCAAGTGCAAGGTATCTGTAGGATCTAAAAAGAATGTTAGGGGGGAAAAAGAACAGCTGGATTTATAGGGAAAATGATAATTTCAAGTTTTGGCTACGGCCCACTGTAGGGTACCACATGGAGACATCCAAAAGTTTGTTGGAAATATGGGCCTGGAACCAAGAAAAGTGATATTAACTAGAGAAATACATCAGAAAAGCATAAGCTATATTAACATCTCTGCTAAAGACTTCAGCAATTCTTAGCCAAAATAAAGTCCTCTTAAGAGATGGTGATTATTACCCTACACAAGTTCTACCTACTGCCTAATTAAACAAGAGCCCCTTGATGGATTTAGTCTACTGTAGGGTAATGAACTCAGGCACAGTTTTTACCTTCATCTGGACCAACCTGCCATATGTTAAAGTCTTCAGAGTAAACTCTCACATATCTTTACTAATTGATACACTGCGATAATTTTCCCATTTGGCATATGCTTCCCTGTTTTGACTTTTTGTTCCCAAGTTCATTGTTCCATATTCTATCTGTTCTGAATAGATATATGTTCTCTTCTGCTGCAAATACATAATTAGTAAAAGCAGATGCAATTCTCAACACTAAGAATTACATGCAAGTGAGTTTTTCCAACATTATCATTAAGGAAATATTGTACTAGATGGCTCAGAGACGCTATAAACAGGTATTTTCTAGCTTCAACAGAAACCTCTAACAGTTTAGAATACACTCAGTTCAAGAATGCATTTTCCTGACTGTTTTTGGTTGAAAAAAAAAATTAACTTAAATGTAATTTTCCCAAAAATTAGATACAGGGCCCTCCCTGGTGGTGCAGTGGTTAAAGCACAGAACTAGGAAGCTAAAGCCATTTCAGCATGAGTTCCATCCCCACCCCAGAGGTGACCCACATGGCACTACAGACCTCTCCTGACCTACCCGCTGCTCCCCTCAGCAGCGTACTTTGTCAGTCTGCCTGTTCTACTCCCTACTCTGTCTTGGGTGAATCCTCTCACCATCCCCACACCTCTGGCCTGTACCCCAATTCTGTATGCATAAATAAATAAATCTTTTTTTAAAAAAATTAGATACAGTCCTACATATGCATAAGCTCACTTGTTAAAACCTATCAACATGTTTTATGAAAAATTACATTTCAAGTATAATATCAGTGAGGAAATAATTTTTTTAATTTAAGACATAATTTGATTAGTAAAATAAAGTAGAATAAAGATGAATAGGAATACTTTGCATATAATATACTTAGGCTTTTTCCTAGTGTAATACCTTCTACTGAGTGATCTTTAATTTTTTTAACCAGTTTAAAAAATTTTTAATAAGTAAAGGTAAGTGAGGATAATCATTTAAAATAGTGATTACATCACAGAATTTTCTTCTACAACTTACCTCCACTGTTATATCATACCAACCACTGGCATAAAATCAGTAAGGACAAGTATAAATAAAGGACAATAATATTTCCTTTTTTACAGGATAAAATATTAAAGGAAGAACACAAATCCATATACACACCAAAGAGAAAATTAAGTTCAGCGTTTTTCTGACTATGAACTAAATATTCACTAACAAAGTTTTTAGGACTCACTATTGTTCATATAATTCTTATTTAAAACAAAGAGGTATCATTACATTCAAATATTAATAACAGTTCCTTTTCTATTTATGTTCCTTAGGCTAAACTTCCAAAGTCAGATGATTTGTGCTGAAAAAAAAAAAATGACTATGACTATACACAGTCCTAGTCTTCCCCACAGAAAGGAAATGTAAATGGTACCCAATTTAATATACATTCTCTGAACACACCACCTAAAATTACAATACAGCTAAACAAGGAAGAGATAAAAAGTTGGAAAATTTAAAAATGGCATTTTCTTACCAATATGTTGCTGTAGCACCGAAGAGGAGTTTGAGGCACGAACAGAGAGCATCTTTTCAACATTTAGAGGAAGTCTCCTCCAATTAGTAAACTCCAATGTGAAGACAAGGATGTCATCACTGACTAAGTCAATCCTAAAATTAGTGAGATGTTAACACACCATTAGACACAAATATGTAAGTGTTGACCCTGGAAACAAACACCACATATCTACTCTTACAACATCTTAATGTAAAGACAGAAATCTGGAAACCAGAAAATATTAATGCAACGAGTAAAGTTCAGTGTATATAAATACTCATCAATGGTTCCTATAAGAAACCAATTAACTGTGTGTAGTTGTCTAAAAGATAACAAAAGGAATCTCTACTCTTGTACAGAGAAGGAAGATTCCTTGCAATTCCCCAGTAGCAGTGGTAAGCAAAACCAATGTCAGCAGTAGATTGGCCACTATCTCCTCTCAACTAGCCCACCTTGCCAAATCCTGACTGGCTATCCTCACAGACACATACCTGATAGTTCTGAAAGGGTAAACTCCAAACACCAAAAGATAGCACTAAACTGGGGGATAGTTTGTTTCCGCCTAACTCCCACAGACATACAGCTCTAAAGAATACACTAGAGTAGCCATGCCTTTTAAGAACTAAAACAAGGTGTCCAAGACAGTTTTCCCTCTAATTTTTCAATATCATGTCAGATTTCCCAGCATCCAAAGAAGACTTTCCCTAGTTTTATAAAAACTTGAATCCTAAATGAAAGAGCATTAGTCCACAAAAAGTTCTGATTTCCAGTACAACCTCTATACTTCAACCTAAATTCTGGAATCCCTTGACTCTGGTCTCTAAAATGAGAATAACATTTAACCTATCTATTTCAGTGAACTATCTGTGAAAATAATATGAGATAATAAGCTAAGTATACTTTTAAACCTATAAAGTGATATATAATTATTTGAAATTGCCAAAATTAGCTATCTAATAGATCCCATAACACTGTACACATGAAATATAGTCAAAGTTTAGAGAGAATTCTAAGATCTAACAAGATTACCCATCCTGTATTCAGAGACTCCCTCCTATCATCACATTATTTGAAGAAAAATGAAATGATTAGGGTGTTTGATAATTACTTCAAAAATAGACAATCATTTCAAGATTGTTTTTCTGAAGACATTCTTAAGCAAGAACTAAAAAAGAAATAAACAGAAGGAAAGGAAAGAAACTAAATTTAACCCTATACCAGTCATCTCAAAGACAATTTCAAAGTATCATTGAATGGCAGATTAAAGAGCATGAAAATTACTTCCCAAACTCTTACTTCTAGAATATGCAAATATGTATGAAGAAGAACTGTAAGTGTAGTACAAACAGCTTTGGAAAACATTTTCCTTCTAGGGAAGCTCTCAGTGAAATCATAACTTATCAGGAAATAGGAGTAAGTAAAATGATAAAAAAAATTCAAAGGCAATCTACTTGACTTTCTAGGAGCCCCACATGAAAGGTTATTTGGTTTTTACTTCTTTCTTAATGGTTTCATTTTTCTCCTTTAAGTCTTACTATAACCAAACATACAGTCATTTTTATGCAGTTATCTAAACATACACACAAGAAACAAATCTGTTTACACAATTCTAGTTAATATAATGGTGAGTTTATTGTACCAATGCTGATAATGCCCCTAAAAAATGTATTGCTACTGTACTACATCAGCCATTACATTGTACAAAGCAATTGTACAATCAAACAAGTGACAGTTAATCAACTAAATGCAGAGATGACATTTACTTTCTATTATTTGCCGATTACATTGGGGGTGAGGCTAGACTTGCATTTAAACTTGAAAAAATATTTCAACTTTGTAGATTAAATTGTGACAGGCAATTATTCAGCCAGATACATTTTTAAAACTGTTTAAGACAAGCAATACCTAGGAAAGATATTTATAATTTACATGACTAAGATTAAGCATCAGACTTGCATGTGATATAAATAAGATATAAGCAAAATCCACTTTAACAACGTATTAGAATTTTTATAGGAGATTTTTCTTATAACGGCTCTCTGAATGTAAACTTGATCAAAGAAAGCAAAATATTTATCATATTCAGCACTCACACTGTTGTTATTCATTCAATAAAAGACTGGTGCACAAAAATTTGACCATGTTAATAAGCATTTTCACTGCTGTAGTGAAATTTTCCATTGTAATTTTTCTAATGAATATAAAGTGACTAAGTTACTCCTTCAGAGAGACAGTCTCAATTCAGTTAGCTCAAAGCTTACAGTTTACTTGAAAAATTATTTATAACTTACTGTTTCTTATCTCCTTCCTATCCTAACACATCCAGAAAATATAGCACATACCCAATGACTCATTACCACAAAAATTCTCAAATGGACTATTCACATGAGGAAAGGGAAGCATATATTTTACCCAGTTTTCTAGCAGAATAAAGCTAAAAATTCCCTCTACTTCCATCAGCACATGAAGTGTGTTGAGAAGGAAAAGAAGTGGCAATGTTTAACTTTTTATTTTTTTCTGCAGAAGTTCTTCCTAATTTGAGAGTAAGAAGGGGCAAGATCACCAAGTTAGGCAACTACCAAATCCCTGTGGATATACAGGGTTAAGGCAACATAGCTCAGTAGGTAAAAACACAAACTGGAGTCACAATACAGTCTCACTAATACTAGTCCCCCTACGGAAATGTTCCCCTCAAGCCCATCATCAGAATCAGAAGACAACTATCCTTCCCCCCCCAACACAGGAAATTCAAGAAACTGAAGAAAGTTACACAGAATGTTCACTAAAAAGGTACAAGGTCCACAATGGTAGGACTTCTTACCAAGTACTGCAGAGTATATTCACTGGGTCAAATCCAGCAAGCAAAAGAGATGGTAACCATTCTTTGTATTTTGTCTGTGCTTTAACTGCATGATTTATAAACTCAGACATATGGTTCCACGATGCCAGCGGGCAACCTTTCTTCAAAAAGTAGCGAAATACTGTAAACTTCTCATACTTTAGGCAGTACGCCAGATGAAGTTCATTTAGTTGGGCGCCGTATTTCAAAAGAATATTCACAATTCCAAAGAATTCACAGCTCCACCACGAAAAAAATTAATAAGTTAGACTTTTATATAAAACATAATTTCTTACAAATCGTTACTAGTACCTACAGCTGCAGTAAATGTAGTAATAGATGGTTTTTACCAAAGTACACAAAATCATTAATTCAAAAGGACACCTGCAGCACTATTCACAATAGGTAAGATACAGAAACAATCAAAACAGATGACTGGGTCAAGAAGATGTGCTATGTATACACAAGAGAATACTATTCAATCAAAAAGATAAACTCATGCCATCTGTAGCAACATAGATGGAGCTGGAAGGGATTATGCTTAGTGAAGTAAGTTAAGGAAAAGAAAAATATTGGATGGTTTTTACTTGTAGGAGGAACATAGGGGAACCAAACAGGGAACTAGCGGGGAAAAAGTGATAAAACTAACTAGAGGCAAACTATTTTTTTTTTAAAAGGACAAAAATAGAGGCAAACTAAACATTCAGCAGGAGAAAGGGACAAAAAGGCATCAAGATGGATCAGAAAGAGCATAACAGACTACGGTGAGGGTTCACAAGTGACCCACACCTGTCTGTGGTGGTGGGAATTTGATGGGGACTACTCGTAAGAGGAAAAATCAAACACTGTACAAAAATAAACAATGATGTAAAATATGTATATAAATAAGTATATTAAGAGGAATTTTTTAAATAAAAGAACAGCAATGTCTATGTGGACAACTTATTCCATTGTTGGATGGACCATAGATATTACTCAATATGGCTTTTTTTCCCCCACACAGCCACATTATTACTCAGGTAAAATCTTAGTATTATAAACAAGTATTAGGCAGCAACTAATGAAGCACCAATATTTTTTCATTTAATCTACTCCACAAAGTCATGACAGACTAGCAAAATAAATATTTGGAAGACTTAAAAGACACTGACTCACGTAAATGCTATACATTAAAAATACATTAAAAACATAACTGCAGCAACAAAACTAAAGTTTAATTTTTAAACTGACAGCACGTCTTCTAAAAATAAATTTCAAATGGTATGTACCTGATACATAGTCAAAATTTTACTTAATAAAGCAATTTTTAATTCCCCCTAGTTTTATTGTGGTATAACTGACAAATAAAATAGTAAGTTACTTAAAGTGTCCAACCTGATGACTTGCTATACATACACAGTTAGTTAATTAACACATCCATCACCTCACATTTTTTTTTCCTTATTTTTTTGGTGAGAGCATGTAAGCATTAACTTAGCAAATTTCAAATATTTAATACAGTGTATTAACTGTAGTCATCATGCTGTATGTTAGGTCCCTACATCATACTCATCATGCAACTGACAGTTTGTCTTCAATCTTGCCACGGGTATCAGAAGATTCCTTCATTTACTTTAATGCACTGAAAGTATACCTTAAAATAGCTGCACTCTAGAAACAGAATCCAGATCCAAAGAGGGAAGGAAATAAACGTGAAAATATTGACACAATTTTATTATTCTTTGTGTATCCCAAGGTATACCAAGGAGTTTTCTGTTGTCTGGAATTTTTGTATTTAAATTAGCAATGTAGCCCTGCTCATTACAAAAAAGAAAGGTATTGCTATATGGAATGTTTTTCACTTCAACAAACAAAAATAATTTTCACTTAAAAATATATCTACAAAAAAAAAAAAATATATATATATCTACATATAGCAGAAAAGAAAAAAAGAATATACATACTCCTTTTGGAAAGCCATACACATGGGAGAACTGAAACCAAAGACAAGACATGTTTGTGCATCTGGGCTGTAGCCACACTGGAGTAACATCTCCAGGCATTCTTCATGTCCCCCAAACACTGCTGAGTACACAGGGCTCACTTTGTCTGGTCCAGTATCACAGACCCGGTTAGTAAGTGGTATCAACAAATCCAAGATTCTGCAAATGCACAAGTTACAGCACATGAGTATAACATCTTTATAACCACATATAGATTTTTTTTTAGGCTTTATATTTTTATTCATTTATTTTTACAAGAACTGGGGTTCATGCCAGCGGTGCAGGAGGTCAGAGGATTCATCAGAGTCAGAGCGGGGAGCAGAACAGATGGATAAACTAAAATATACTGCTGAGGGAAGCAGTGGGCAAGACAGGAGAAGTCTGCCACGTCATGTGGGTCAGCGCAATGGAGGAGAATGGAACTCATGTGGCAATGGCTAGCAGGAGCTCTATACAACCTGCGAAGCCCTGCAACATATTTTAAGAACCATCTACTCATTAATTTAAAGAAAATTTTCTGTATTCCTTGTACATTTTTTTTTTAGCAAAAAAAGTATTTTGCTAATATAAGGGATATACTTAATGTCTCCTGAGTGTAAATGTTTTTAATTTTTCTAAGGGTTGGAAAAATTATACTCAACACACAAATATCTTACAACAAAGATTTTTTATGAAATAGCAGTAAAATACCATTCCACCTAGTGGCATACTGACCAAATTGCAGAATGTTTTCTATTACATAATAAAATAATGACCATCTCACTATTTTTAATTAAAATATTTCACTTTTAGGAAAAGATGAACAGCTGGGGCAACATCAAATTATAAAGTCATTAACCAAAACAAAGAGATAACCTACTGATTGTGAGAAAATTTTTTGCACACAATATTACTCATGAGGGTCTGATCACAAAGATCTACAAAGGGGTGACTAGACTCAACAAAAACAAAATAAACAATCCAGTCAAAAGTGGGCCTAAGAACTAAAAAGACAATTCTTCAATGAGGAAATGCAAATGGCCAACAGGTATATGGAAAAGATGTTCAATATCACTTGTAATCAGGGAAATGCAAACCAAAACCACAATGAGATACCACCTCACACCAATGAGAATGGCACATATTTAAAAAATATATATACAGAAGACAACACTCTGAGAAGGCCCATAAGGTTATTCTCTCCCTAGTCACAATGCCTCACACTAGGAAGGTGCAAGACTAAGAAGAGCTAGGGATAGCATGGGTGGCGTGGAGGGGATATAAGGGAGGGGGGGACATGAGAGGTAAATCTTGTCACCTAGCAGAATGCTAATGAAGGAAATGCCAAGATTTTGCCTGGAGGTGAAAGGTCTGGCCCAGAAAATTTATTCCTTATTAAGCCCTTTATTCATGAGACCATTTTAATTTTCTGTTTTTATCACTTACTTTGTATGGCCCATTTGTGCAGCTGCATGAATAGGTAACTGCCAGTAGTCCTCATTACAGTAAAGATTAGGGTCTGCCCCACTGGACAGCAAAAGCTCCACACATTCTGTATGGCCCTCTTGAGCAGCAATGAACAAGGGAGTAGCTTTGTCCAAAGCTTGACAATTGACATTTGCACCTAATAAAAAATAAAACATTAAAGAAAAAAATCTTCATTTATGCAAATACATACATACACACATACATTTAATATAAATTTCAAAGTAACTGCCATAAATGAGTTTCATAACACAGTATTTCCCCCTCAGTGGATATTGCTGTGTAAACAATGATTTTTCCTAACTACTGAGTACCATTTATTTTTATTTTCATCCAAGTAAGAAAACAAGTGATGAATATTTCATAATTCATTTTTAAGCTAAAACAAAAATCTTACTCAATGAAGGATTCATTTCATTCCAATTCCTCCTCAGCAAGCACTACGTGGGTACAAAATGTTAAAAATACTAACCTGTGAGACTTTACTAATGTCACTAAATGATTCACACTAAGATTTGTGAAAACAACTTCAGGTAGGTATGACATATATAAGAGCTAGTCTTCAAGCTAACATTAAGAACATACTTTCTTACATCCCTTTTCATCATGACCACTGCATGACAGAGCTTACAATAAAAAATAAAACATCTATTTAAATAGGTTCCTGAGTTGGTTTTTAAAAAGCATAAATCTAACATGTTTAGGCAGCCATATATAAAGATTTGAAACATTGAAAATAACCTCAAATTTTGGAAGGTACTAAAAATAGCAGACTTCCATAAAATTTCTCACTGACAAATAATATGTTAAATATTTAACACATTTAGGGCCTTGCCTGGTGGCACAATGGGTTAAGGCACAGCACTATGAGACTATGAGGCTGCTGCAGTAACTGCAGCACAAGGTCAATCCCCAGCAGGGGAGGTGACCTACATAGTGTGGCAGACCTCTCCTGACCCACCCGCTGCACCCCTCAGCAGTGTATTTCAGTACATCTGCCTGTTCTGCTCCCCACTCTGTCTCTAGTGAGTCCTCTCAACCGCCACACATTTGGCCTTTATCCCAGTTCTGATTGTATAAATAAAAAAAATTTTTTTTAATCCTTAAAAAGAAATATTTGACACATTTAAATAGATGTTCCATTAAGTGCATATTTTATAAAACAAAGTTCCATGACGTGTCAACACTATGCAGAATACAAATGGTTAAAGAGTTTATGGAATATTCAGAAATTTTAACTTGATATTCAACATATGCAGACAAGCAGCATCTTCTTGATTTATACAAGATAGATGCTTCACCTACTGTTGATCTCAGAAAAAACACTAAGAAAGAAATATACTTAACTTAGTGATTTTAGCAATGTTTAATTTTGACAATTTCGAAATATCAAGCAGAGTAAGGAACCAATCTGTAAGATTACATGTTGAGAAATCAGGAAAATGAAAGATAATTCAATGACAGAACAGTCACTTTAAAAAAAAAAAAAAAAGACAGAGGTCCTCCTTGGTGGTGAAGCGGGGTAGAGCACAACACTGCACGCTAGCTGCAGCTGCTTCAGTCAAAGTTTGATCCCCGATCCAGAGGTGACCCTCATGTTGAGGCAGATGTCTCCTGGTCTGCCTGCTGCTCCCCTCAGCAGTGTACTTCATTGATGTTTCTGTTCTACTTAGTATCTGGTGAAGCTTTTCACCGCCCCTGCACCTCTGGCCTGTACCCCAGTTCTGTATGCATAAGTAAATAAATGTTTTTTAAAAAATTTTTAAGGGCCCTCCCTGGTGGCGCAGCAGGTTAAAGCACAGTACTGAGAAGCTAAAGCCACTTCCACATGAGTTCGATTCCCGCCTGCCCCGGAGGTGACCACATGGTGTGGCAGACCTCCCCTGACCAACCCGCTGCTCCCCTCAGCAGTGTACTTCGTAGATCTGCCTGTTCTGCTCCCCACTCTGTCTCTGGTGAAGCCTCTCGCCACCCCTGAGCCTCTAACCTGTACCCCAGTTCTGTATGCACAAATAAATAAATCTTTTAAAAAATTTTTAAAAAGATAGATTGGTGAATTGTTAGCATATTTTAAAACAGATTTTGCTTGTTTGTTTACGGTACTCATGGACTTTCCAAGGATTGAAAGTTTTTAGCTTTAATAGTTTGTATAATGAATCAAGTCTTACAACCTTCAAAAAAAAAAGTCATTTTAGGAGTCAAAAACATAAGTTATATTATAAACAAAACTATACACCTTTTCAATTTTCTCTTTGTAACTATTCATAGAGGATAAAGGGGGGGAAAGAACTAAACAACTATTCATAGAGGATAAAGGGGGGAAAAGAGCTAAACAAAACAAAACAAGAGGTTAGTAGTCTAGAAGACCAGATGGGCATGAGGTAAATCAAATATAATTAAACTATTTTATTCTGAATGCTAATTATATATTCTAATATTATATATTCTAATATTAACTTATTGTGGAACTGGAATTAATAAAAAGACTCAGGATCAATGTTAGTTCACTTAAATGTTAAAAAAGAAAGAATTAGGACTGTCCTCAGCAATGTAGTAGAAGGAAGACAAGAAGTCAGAAGGTTTCAGTCCAAGACTACAGTTTGTGAGAAAATACTTTCTAGATCTTTGAAAAAGCATAGAAACACTCAGGGTCTGGGATTCTTGGTCAAAAACATACACATCCAAATAAATGACTTTGGCGATTAAACTCTGAGTTTAATAAATTCAAGGTAAGGATGCCTTAATTATTTAATTTTGTGTTTTATTTCTCACTTGAACTTGAGTTTTGCAAAGGTTTGTATGAAAGAAAAAAAAATACACATGCCTTGCTTAGCAAACAAACTTTGTTTAGTATAATTTATTAAGTCTAAATAATGTAGAAGATGCCTAAAAAGCCGAGTGTTGAAGTGTTAAATTTGCCTGTAAGCAAATATGGTGGCATTTCCTTTCTGCTTAACTATTCATGTTTCTTCAGGTAAGCAGGATGAATGCAAACACAGCGTTCAGAGGAATTTAAAAGTCATTACATAATAAATATTTGTGATCACAGAAATGACAGAGCAAGAATACCATGTCAACATTATCTTCCCTGGCAATGCTGAATCTGTACTGGTTGTCATGGAGAAATGTTTACCAGGTTTATGTTATTATTAACATAATAAATTATAACATATTTTGAATAAACCCATTTAAATAATCACACAACTGATTAAAACAGATAATTCAAAGACTTAATACACAAAATAATTACCTAACAAATTAATTAAACCTAAACTAGCCTTCTACCTTAGAGAGTTGGGCCTTCTCAGATCCCTATTAGAAAGAACAGCCCCATCACTCAACTTGTCAATAGCCTGGTTTAGTGATGGATCATTATATTCCTGCTCAGATAAATTAGTAGCTGGGCATTCTATTATGTTGGTAATAGACACTTAGTAAGCAAGCTTATAAATCAACTTGTTATATGTATTCTTGTTTCCCACTAACATACAACCATAAATTTCAAAACCTGATTTATATCTGGTCAAGAATTATTCTCCCTATGAAGTCACAAAGTTAAAACTCATCTTAACAGTAAGTTTACCTGATGAAATAAGAATGTTCAAGCTTTCAAGCTTGCCATACTCAGCAGCCACAAATAAAGGTGTGATTCCAAAGTCATCTTGGCATTCTTTATTGGCTCCTTTTTTAAGAAGCAATTTTATGATTTCAGCATTTTCCTAAAGCACAGATTCATTATTTAAATAAGAGAAAACAAAGAAAATAGATGCTATCTCTTTTCTTGTTTTGGACTTTATTTTTTAATCCATACTAAAGATAAATTTTCTTTGTAAGTATAGTTTAGGATGGGATGAAAATGTTAAATAACCAAGTTATTCTATACATTCATCGAGCCCATTAAATGTACATATGAAACACAAATTTCTAGGAATCCCAATCCATTTAAAAATCCTGCAAAATTAGTTTGTTAGTCTAAGGAGTGATGACAGCCTTTAAATATTCTTTAAATAAAATAAGTTATTGTTCATTATCAATTTAAATCCCAAATATCTGATGTCCTCTTAATATACTTAAAATTCATAATCCCTACAGTCCAAAACTGCTAGAACTACTAGAGCAGTTGGCTTATTCAGAATGATCATTAGCATTTAGACTGGCTTTTCTGTACTGCGCTAAACATCATAAATCACATGCAAGTAGGAAGCAAAAACTGTATAGAACTGTCATTTTAAAAGGGCAAAACACACAATTTACATGGAAATGAAATAATAAATTCAGAGGTTACCTGAAAAGCAGCCTGGTGCAAGGCATTCCATCCACACATAGAATGGGACCCATTAACATTTGCTCCACGTCGAAGCAACAGCCTTAATACATCTATCTGTCCATTTTCAACAGCTGCAAGACAGAAGTCAAAAAAATGACTTTCAGCAAAAAGGCATGCTTGTATGACTGGACACTTTGGTAATGTTTTCATCACTTATTCACCTCAGAACTCACAACGCTCTGATCATTCTTATCAAAGTTTCAAAACATTTATTTTGCAATTCCAAAACATTTATTACAACTGTTTTAGCCCAACCCAATTAACATACACATCCATTTTGTATAGAAAACAAAATTATCTTCAATTCAGTTTTAAAGATACAGAGGAAATGGAAGCAAGAGACTTATTTTCTCTGATAATGAGACAGTATGCTTCTATTTTGTTTAAAATGAAACTGGATAGGAGAGGGTTAGAATAAAAGTTCAGAAGAAACAGCATCAAACTGGACAGTCTCTAAAGTATTGGAAGATTTTCTACAATTATTATTTCATCACAAGTCACCAGCAGACAAACTGAAAGGGCAATATTGTAAGTGCTCTCACAATGTACCTTAATTTGTTTTTTTAACTATTGTAAATAATTATTAAAATGTTCTTGTATCAAGCAATGAAAGTATAGTAAAATCTTGCTTATTTCAAAAACAAAACAAAACAAAAAAAAAACAGGATTCCAGATAAACTTGAGTGTTGTTTAAAAAAAAAAATGTGTATTACTTATAGTATGAGGATTAATAATTCCCAAGTTGTTGCTACAAAAGATCCTCTGAAACAGTATTTTGTATTACTGCAGAAACTAAAGAATTATGCATGCTTTTACTAATTTCCCCCAAAAAATGACTTTCTTTTACCTATCCAACAACACTAGCACAAGATTATGTGTTACTTAATATATGTAAATTTATATATATATATATATAAGTTTATATATATATATATATAAAACAGTTTATAAACCTTACCCAGGAGGATGAAATTGTTATAATGATATTAAATTGATGTAACAAGAAGTGGGGCTAAACTGTCCAAATGTTATCTACTACAAAACTTTGCTATGAAGCTGGCAGTAATTCTGAAGAATTAATAAGCACAGCTAATGAAATGCTAAAATGTGAAAAGAGAATTATATATTACGAAGAAAAAAAAAGATGTACACACACACATCATTAGCAAATACAGGATACTGTGAATATTACAGGTATAAGGTTATTATAATTACTTTTTGTATTGTAAATGTAGGAAAATATAACTATAAGAAGAAAGAGAAGACAGGTGTAAGAAGGTGCTTGGTAAAGAAGTTTGAAAAACAAACAAGATTTCAAACAAAGTTATCTCTATCTTCTACTATAATAGGGAGCAAGAAGAAAGAATGAACAACTCTCAGTCAAAAATTAGAAAATAGATACTTGGATGAAGATTATGCTTGAAAAATGTTAATGGAATTAAACAAAGGAGATGACAAAATACTTAAAATTATAAACAATAATAATAAATCTACTTATTACTGAAGATGAAGAATATGCCATTGATATTAATTTTGTATAATGAATTCATATTCTTTCCACTATAAGGACTGTCAGAAGTAAGAATTCTCTTATCATGATAGGTGACCAAAATGAAACTACCACAGTTGAGGTAACACCATTGTAGTAGAACTTTAACATAACTTATTTTTGAATTACCATTCAAGGACATTTTGCCAGGGAAAGAACAACAGTTTTTTCAAGCTAAGTTATTTTTCTATAATCAATATAAAATTATTCTAATTTTGGGTGGAAGTCATGATACAAAAGGAAGAAAATCTATTTCATATCCAATTCATGTATTATTATCAGTGATTGCTGGCAAAAATCATTCTATAACCAGACCCTGCGTTGAAGATTATCAAGTTGTCAGCAGTGATGTATGAGGCAGAGTAAAGACAAGTTTGTTTTTCATGAGTTAGGCTGACCTTATTATAATTAAAGTTGAAAAAAATTGTTTTTGATTATTAAATACACTACAGAAGTCAGAGAGAAAAATTGTTTTCACTTGTAATATTATGAACATATTAAAATATCTGACTTCTTCATCTCTAGTGAAAACATTTTCTAATGGCAAGAATGTGAATATTGGCGGATAAATAGCACTTTTACAGCTTACTAATTATTTCAAAATAAAGTAAATTATATTATTAACAATTAAGAAATAATGGTTTAGAAAACTGTATTTTGAATACCTGGAAGCAAAGATGGGCAAAATACTACACGACATACACTTCAGTAACACCTCTCAAGATACAGCACCCAACACAACAATAGTTGAAGGAAAGGATAAACAGATGAGGCTACATCAAGTTAAAGAGCTTCTGTACAGCAAAAGAGACATTACAAAAAACAAACAGGCTGGGAAAAAAAATTTCTCACACGAAACTAGCAACAAAGGATTGATCACAAAAATATACAAAGAACTGATGAACCTCAACAAAAATAAACAACCCCATCAAAAAATGGGCAGAAGAGCTAAAAAGACACTTCTCCAAAGAGGAAATGCAGATGGCCAACAAGCATATAAAAAAATGTTCAACATCACTTGTAGTAAGGGAAATGCAAATTAAAAACACAATTAAGATACCACCTCACCCCAGTGAGAATGGCACATATTAAAACAACTAGTAACAACAAATGTTGGCGAGGATGTGGGAAAAAAGGAACTCTCTTGCACTACTGGTGGGAATGCAAACTAGTACAACCACTATGGAAAACTATCTGGAGGCTGCTCAAAACTGCTAAACATGGAGCTTCCATATGAACCAACAATCCTACTCCGAGGTATCTACCCAAAATACACAAAAACACTGATTCAAAAAAGACACCTGCACCCCCATGTTTATTGCTGATTTACAACTGGAAAGACATGGAAACAATCCAAATGCCCAAAAGTAGATGACTGGAATAAAAAGATGTGGTATGTATACACATGGATTATTATTGAGCAACCAAAAGAAAAATAAACATATGCCATTTGCAGCAACATGGATGGAGCTGGAAAAGATCATGCTTAGTGAAATAAGCTAGAAAGAAAAGGAAAAATACCGGATGGTTTCACTCATAGCAGGAGTATAAAGGACTAGGGGAGAAAATAATAATAATAATGATGATGAACAACTACATACCAGAGAAATTTTATGGGGGTGGAATGGGGAATGGGATCAAAAACAGTGGGGAGAGGGAAATTCACTGGACTATGGTGATGGCACACAGGTGATGTGGTGATGGAAAGCCCATGGGGATTACAACTAAGATGGAAAAAGGCACAAAATGATGTAAAAATAAACTACTATATTATTTTAAAAAATAGATCTGCCATAAAAAAAAAAGAAAACTGTATTTTGAGCTTACATCCACTACCAAAGCCTTTCCTTTGTACTGAAGTAGATTAAGAAGGATACCACCATAAAGTATATGTTATTCTTCTAAAAATGTTTACTAAAAATACAAACCCACTCTCAAGCTTCCAACTCATTGGCCTCCTTATAAATTAAGACAGTATGCAACCTGACAAAAGAAAGTATCTCATCTCCCTTGTATGCCCAGTACCAATTACAGACAGAAGATAGGCAATAATCACCGAGAGGGTAAATTTTTGAAAAAAAAAATTGTCTAAGATTTTCTATTTTTAGGAATCTATTCCTTTTTCAATGTGAGTGGGCTTCAGCATTACATTTGGGAAGATGGCAGTATAAATAGTATTAAACTGGCCATCCTCCCATAAATTATCTTTAGAGTAGACAAAATATGTAAGCCAACTTTTTGTTACTAAGAGGCAGATGACTACGATTCTTGAGGAAAGGAAAAATTGGAGCTATGTACCATGATCACTCCAAGAGACATTTATTTGAAGAAAGAGTACTCTAAGTAGAGTAAACAGTTCAAGCAGTATACAGCATTCCTTTGAATCTACAGAGGGAGAAATTACAGAATTTAAGCAGCTGAAATCTGTGGGGCAAGGCCTCAGAGAAAAGAGAGCTATGGAGAGAGTAAGCCTCAGTGTGGAGGTTGTCTAAGAATCCCTGGATAAGGTGTGGATTACACATAGACAAGGCAGGAGGAAGCTTACCAGAGAATTGTGAAAGGGTAAGAATGGACCAGAAATAACCAGAGGTCAAACAGTGCTGAGGAGCAATGAACTTATAGAAGTTTTGGCCCAAGCAGAGTGGTGAAACCAAATGATATCGCTTTAACACCATGTACATCTCCTGAAATACCCAAAAAGCAGAGCTTCAGATGTTAAGAACCATATCTGAAGAGTAAGGCATACTCTAGGGTTGCTCTGACAAGCCAAAAACAAAGCCTGACAAAGGGCCCTCCATGGTGGCACAGCAGGTTAAAGCACAGCACTAAGAAGCTAAACCCACTTCAGCATGAGTTTGATCCCCACCTGCCCCAGAGGTGATCCCACATGGCGAGGCAAACCTTTCCTGAACCGCCTGCCCAGTGCTCCCCTAAGCCGTGTACTTCATCAGTCTGCCAGTTCCCCACTCTTGTCTCTGGTGAAGCCTCTCACCACTCCACACCTCTGGTCTGTGCCCCAGATCTGAATGAATAAATAAATAAATCTTAAAAAAATAAATAAATAAAAAGTAAAGCCTGACAAAAAGCTGAAAAAAGACAGATGAGCTGAGCCTCATAAGTTGGAGGGCTTGGGAAATCCCTTAAATGCTCCACAAAGCTAATCTAACAAAGCATAAAACTAGGGCTAAATAAGTTCAAGGTGATAATCCAGTAAATGATTTACCTATTAGGTAAAAAAAATTAAATCAACATTTCTCAGAGGAAGATAACAGAATTCAAATCTCCATAAAATATTATCACAATATCCAATATACAAGTCAGAAAGATGTCAACAGAAACAGACCTAGAGGTGGTCCAGAAATTGTATTTAACAATTTAACTAAAGTATCTATTATAAATATGCCTTTAAAACTTAGGGAAAAGATCTTCAGTGTTTGTGTGTATGCAAACATAGTATACATATATACACATAGAAGACCTCAGCAGAGAAAAAGAAAACTTGAAGAAAAAAAAGGAAATTCT